CCCCAATCCCAAAACCCCAAAACCCCAAAACCCCAAAACCCCATAAATTAGATGCGTACTTGAAAAATTAGATAATTTCAAGATATATAATATCAGATATAAATGGACTGAGGATTGCCTCTAAGTAAGTTTTCCTCAAGGCAAGGAGGTCGCCTTCCATCGTGAGTGAGGCATTTTCATTGCCACTATATTTACCTCTAACAGGTAGTTCTTTATCTTTGTTTCCAGTGGAAATATCCTTTGGAAAAGTCTTTTTCAAAATTACACCAAAAATATCAAGTTTTAAAAATTAGCTATTAAGATAAGCCCATGAGGCATATAACCGTTGTTTTAAATAATTTGGTGCCAGAAACGATGGAACCAAAAGGACGAAAGAAGACTAAAGCAGAGATCTTTAGTGAGTACCTCACTAATCACTCAAGGAGGGAAAACTCTTTAAGGCGTAGCTCTCGAACAACGAGTTTGAGTAATACAGAAATTACTGACAGTGATCAATCACAGAAGAATAGCTATGATTTCCATGCTGCAAGTAGAAGGAGCCCTCGGAGCAAGTCCTCTCTTCCTAAACCTATTGATCGTCATGAAAGTAATCTTAAGGTTGAAAATTATTACTCAAGACGCAGAGATATCCCAAAGAATCATGACTCACAAAAGGAGAAGAAGCAGACACTTGAAGAAAGAAGTACTTCATCAGCTCCAATCAGGCTTTCTCAGAGCTCTCAAAATAGCCAGAGTTCAGTTAAAAAGGATCAGGATTATACTAGTAGTAAATTTAACTTATCCCAAGACACATCCACTGGAGCGCCCTTCAGTTCATTTATGAATACTCCTAATCGTGCTCCTAGTGATAGAGAAATTGGAAGCCATAGTTATGAGAATAATTCCCAAAGATCATCAGTGAGAAACAGAAATGAGTTAGCAAGAGGATACCAAATGGCATCACCAATGTTTCCTTTGTCCCCCTCACAAAGCATGGGGTCTCAAAGCCCACAGATGATCAGACCTTTAAGCTTCACTCCGGGAGGAATGAACAACGGAGAGATTCCAGGAGCAATGGGAATGATGCCAGGACATCCAATGCCTCGTTTCCCAGGATCTATGACAAAGATGGAGATGCGAGATCAACCTCCAATCATGCCATCAGCAGGGATTCCAGATCCAAACCCAATGGTAATGAATAGGTTCAATGGCCTCCAAGGACAAGGGATGCCAAGGATTTCCTTGCTAGCAACTCCTTCCCAACTTTCAATGAAAGCAGAGGAATGTATGAGTCAGGGATCGTCGCATTCTCCAGCTAATAAGATGTTTAGAACTATGAATAAAAGGGAAATTAAAGAAGAAATGAAGATAGGCTCACCCGCCTACCACGGGTTTCCTTCTCCTGCTCAGTATAGCAATAGGAGCCAGATGATGGACAATCTGAGTCAAATGGAGCGATATTCTCCGAACTCTTCGCAAAGATTTAATCCTCCCATTGGCCAAATGGTGAACAGCATCGAGCGTCAGATAAGAGGGCTTCCTCAGATGTATTTTCCTAAAAATGATATGATGAGGAACCCTCTTTACAAATTTGAGGGCCAGTATGATTACAAACGGGATGAAGGGATGATTTATCATGATGACAAACCTGTTCTGCAGAACATTGTCTCTACTTGAAATCTTAACTGAACTTTGGACCTTCAGAGAATAGCTACTCATGCAAAGAACACAGAGTACAATCCGAAGAGATTTGCTGCTGCTATTATGAAGATCAGGCAACCTAAGACGACAGCATTGGTGTTCTCTAGTGGAAAGATGGTCTGAACTGGAGCAAAATCTGAAGAAGCCTCTAAAATTGCAGCTAAGAAATTTGCTAAAGCTATCAAATTAATGGGATTTGATGTCCATTTCTGAGATTTTAAGATTCAAAATATTGTTGGATCATGCGACTTGGGATTCTCCATCCGCCTTGAAGCTCTTAACCAATCTCAGAGTCGTTTCTGAAGTTATGACCCAGAGATTTTCCCTGGTCTGATTTACCGTATGCTAGAGCCTAGAGTTGTAGTACTAGTCTTTGTTAGTGGCAAGATTGTTCTTACTGGTGGTAAATCTCGATCCCAAATTCTTGACGCTTACGATTACATCAAGCCCATCCTCTCTTTACACCAACAAGGGCCTGAAGAAGATGATGAAGAAGGTGATATCAAGGAAGAGAAATACCTCAAAAACGAGCGATTTATCAAGGACGAGTAAATCTCGTAAAATCTTCAAATAGTATTACCCAATTTTCAAGTTAATTATCTACTAAGATAAACATACACAAAATAGTTTTAGTGAATTTTCAATTCTTAGCTAAAAATAGGGGTTTTGGGGTTTTGGGGTTTTGGGG